CTGTCTGGGGATGGGGAAACACCTCTTATCAACAGAGTGCCTGAATGAAACGTAATTGTATACCTAACCCTTAACTGTACCCTACAAAACCATAACAAAAAAACATTGATTACTGATTAAAAAATAATAATAAATAGTTTCTGAGAAAAAAAAAAGATGTGAGTGTTATGTGTTATGTCCCATGAATGTGTAAATCTTGATTAAATATACTTAAGTCATAGATCACTTTAGAGATCTTTTGGGCACTTCACAGATGACTAAGCTGGATTCTCAATACATACTTACTGCACTGATTGCTAAAATTTCAGTTCCGTTTTCTCTTTATTGAGTTCTTATACAGGACACCAAGGGGGGAAAGAACAATCAGTAGAGAGGGCACAGGGTGTGAGCAGAGTGAGCATAAGAACATCTTACATTATACAGATAGCTCTTGACAAGAACCTCAGGATCTAGTTGGGAAGAAAGACATACAGATTAATAATGAGTATAAATCAGGCCATGATATTTAAAAGGGCAAACAAGTTTTTATTTAAAAAATAGAGAAAAAAGTGACTAGTGAACTGAGGAATAAAGATTTCTCTATGGAAGTGTCATTTAAGATGAATCTTGCAAGATAAGTAGAATTATACTAGACAGAGAGCATGAGGAAAAAGAGTAGGTGCTGGAACCATGGCATAAATGTCTGGAATCTTGAGAGCACAAGAGCTTATTTTTAAAATGGTTTGTTTACTAGGGTTGTTATGGTCCGAGTAATGCTCGGTTGCTCCTCTTGATATCAATAAATCAAAGGGGCAGGGAACTGGTAGAAAAAAGTTTATTTCTGAGTTGGAATCCAGGGAGCAGAGCCAGACTTGAGGTCTTTCTAAAATGGTTCTGCTCACCCTCTAGGTTTTTACAAGTTCATGTTCACAGTCCAGAGTTGTCAGTACCTATACATTAGCCTTGTGACCAGCAGAACATTGTATAGAACTTGAGTCTCAGTCACAATTATCAATAGTGACATTTTTATGCCCAGACTTCCTGGTGCCAGGTATCAGAGGTATCTCATAGCTTTTATCAGTAGGACCCGGCAGATGCAGCAATCAATCTTGCCATAGAGTAAACAGCCTAAGATATCATGCATTACGCAAAAGTTATACTAATCACAAAGCTTACAATTACATTGATACAAAAGTTATATAATTCACAAGGCTTATGATTACATTGATATTATATTATTCAGACTTATAGCCACTCAGGAAAAGGGAATGCAAGATTTGTATCTTTCAGCTGATGGGGCATAGACTACAGAGAAGTCAATGATCCCCTGAAGCTACTCATTGGGAGTGCATAGGAGATATGGGGAAGCTCACCTTTTATTAGCTCTCAGGAATATTGTTCAGGAATGTACAGGAATGCGCCCTGGCCGTCTCCTTCTCTAGGGGCTGTGACAATATGGACAGACATCAGAGGGTCTCTGTATCAGGGTGGCTGAATCTTACAGGTATATTATATAAGGGAACTCAAGCAATATTAGGAGAATGGGGGTTTAGACTGGAAAATGTTCTACCTGGATTCCTCACATTTGTTTTCTGCCCATATCATTTCATGGAGACTTCTCTCTGAGTAAGATTTCAACCAACTCTTAAGTGTCACCTTCAGAGAACATCTCTCCATCTTCCTAACCAAGCTGCAGTATTTGGTATGATTGAAAGTCCTTTCACTTGTGGCTCTGTGATTACTCACTGTTCTTAGCTTTCTAAATGTTCCATCTCAGTCTTTTATGTTAGATCAATTTCTCCCTTTGCCCTTAATGATGCTTCTACTCACCTCTGTTTCATTCTAGAATTGTCCCTAGACTATCTCATTAACTCTTTTTTTTTTTTTTGAGTTGGAGTCTCACTCTGTCGCTCAGACTGGAGTGCAGTGGCATGCTCCCGGCCACCGCAGCCTCAACCTGCTGGGCTCCGGCGATCCTTCCACCTCAGCCTTCCAAGTAGCTGGAACTATAGGCACACTACCACGCCCAGCTAATTTTTTGATTTATTGTAGAGATGAGGTCTCGCCAAGTTGCCCAGGCAGGTCTCGAACCCTCAGGCTCAGGCAATCCACTCACCTCAGCCTCCCAAAGCGTGGGATTACAAGCTGAGCCACCGAGACCGGCTAACTCTTATTTTTTAACTGCCATTGTTTTCTTGACTTCTCTAGAGGTGAGACTCAGAGCCATTTTTATTGTACATCATATCAATAAAATCATGGGGTATATCCTAAATACATTTTACCTAAAAATTAGATTAATGTATCGCTATACTGTTATCAAGTATATTACAAAACAAAGAATTTGCAAGTATATTACAAAACAAAGTTCAAAATTAAATAAGAGAAAATACATTTTTAAAAATTTTATTTTATTATAGAGATGTGGGGTACAGGTCACTATTAACTACACAAGTAGGCTGCAAGCAGGTGGAATTTGGGCCTCTAGCTGGTCCTCACTGCTCCTGGTTTGGGACCAGGTACTCTTTGTGTAGTCACGTGCCTCCCCTCTCTTCCTTCCTTGGCAGTGCCCAGCAACTGCCAATCCATTCTTTGAGCTACTATGTTTAGGGTGTGCTCAGGGTTAGGGTTAGGGTTAGGGTTAGGGTGAGTGAGAACATGCAGTATTCAGTTCTTTGTTTCCTTGATAGGTCACTAAGTATGATGGTCTCCATCTCCATCCAATTTGCTGCAAAGTCCACGATTCCATGATTTTGTTCTTTTTATGGCTGTGTAATGCTTCATCATGTATAAGTACCACATTTTTTTAATCCAGTCCGCTTTTTCGATGGGCAGTAGGGTTGATTCCTTGTTTTTGCTATTGTGAATAGTACAGCTTTAACATGTATGTGTAGGTGTCTTTTATGCAGAATGATTTATGTTCCTCTGTGTATGCTCCCAGGAGAAGGATTGATGGATTTCATGGAAGGTCAATTTTTAGTTCTTTTAGAAATCACCACACTGCTTTCCATAGAGGTTGAACTAGCATGTACTCCCACCAACAATGTAGAAGCACTCCCTTTTCTCCACACCCATACCTGCATCTGTTGTTTTTTGATTTATTAGTGATGGATAGCTTTACTAGAGTTAGGTGGTATCTCATTGTAGTTTTGATTTGCATTTCTCTGATGATTAGTGAGGTTGGGCATTTTGTAGTGTATCTGTTGGTTGCTTGTATATCTTCTTTTGCAAAGTATCTATTCATGTCCTTTGTCCACTATTTAATAGGGTTGTTTGTTTGTTTCCTTTCAGCTTGCTTGAATTCCTCTTAGATCCTGGATGTTGGACCATTGTCAGATACATAATGAGCATTTTTTCCCTATTTTGTGGGTTAGCTTTCCACTTTCTTGATGATTTCTTTTGCTGTGCGGAAGCTTTTCAGTTTGATGAGGTCA